TCTTTTGGAAAAAAAAAAAAAAAAAAAAAAAAACCTACATAATTAGGAAGAAATCTCTCAGAGCAGATGAAGAAGAAAAATTTAGAAACCATCACTAATACAGGCAGTGTCCTTCGAAAATGGCTTCAATGGATGCTGAGACCCTTGCTCCCGCCAGCCCCTGCAGTGAGCAGGACCCAAGGAAATGGAGGGACTCCGCTTGTCACTGAACCTGGCAGGAGAGGTTAACTACGCAGTTGCCATGGTGGATCAGAAGTCTGTGACCATATACAAGGTCCCTGGAAGGGACAGATTCAGAGAGATGGGGGAGGGAAGGGGGAGCTCGTGTTTAATGGGTGCAGGGCATAGTTTGGGAAGATGAAAAAGTCCTAGAGATGGACAGTGGTGATGGTTACACAGTGATGTGGATGTATATTTTGTTTGTCTGTCTGTTTGTTTTGGTACCAGGGATCAAACTTGGGTCCTTGCACTTGTGAGGCAGGCAGCAGAACCACTGAGCCAAATCCCCGGCCCTGGATTATATTTTTAAATGGTGAAACAGTAAATATTATATTGTGTTCATGACCACTGAGAAATCCATCCTTCTGTCCCCCAGTATGTACAGCTCTGTGCCTGTTCTACTCCAGTGGAAGGTTTTAAAGGGCAGGGAAATAAATATGAAAATAAGAGAGGGAAACAGTGCTGTGGAAAAGACAAGGCAGACAAAGGAGAGGGGAGGAGGGAGAGGCCTGGCCCAGGACACTGTGTGCAGTAGATCATGATATGGATTTAATTCTCTCCCATAAGAGCATCAGGGAGGGCCGGGGATTTAGCTCTGTGGCACTGTGCCTGCCTCACAATTGCCAGGTCCTGAGTTCCATCCCTGGTACCAAAAACAAAAAAATCAGGGAGCAATTTTATACCTTTATTTTTTATGTACTTTATCTTTGCAAGGAGAAATTAGGTTAAAATTCAAGTACTTACTATAGCATATAAAATATTTACAGCTCAAAATATTCACATGTTATGTCAAAGAGGACAGTGTTATTCAGGACAAATAGAAGACTTCTAATGTATAAGTAAAACTTCATTTCAGAAAAATTCAAGGGCCTTCATTTGGGTACCTTTTTTTTTTTTTTTTTTTTTCAACCAGGGATTGAACTAGTGGCCTTGCACTTGCAAGGCAGGCGGGTGGAACCACTGAGCTAAATCCCTGGCCCATTTGGGTAATTTTAAAATTCTATTTTGGAATCTTTTGAAACATTTGGTCATAAAACTTTTTCATTTTATTTGATTTGGGGGTTTTGTTTGGTTTTGTCTCACTGTGTAGTTCAGGCTGGCAATCCTCCTGTCTCAGCCTCCTATGTACTGGGATCAGAGGCATGTGCCACTACACCGACCTTGTTTTGTTTTATTGGGCTTTGTTGTTCTTGTTCTTGTTCTTCTTCTTCTTCTTGTTTGGCCATAAAGTTTTGCATGAAAAACAAGTATGCTGAATCTTTGTAAAGCTCAAATGGATGTGTTCATATATGCGTATTGTATAGCTGTATCTCTGTGCACACACAAGTGTATATATACAAATGCCTTCCTTTATATAAAAGAAAGTGACTTTCCTTAAAATAATTATTTTATTAAAATGATTTTAATTTATTAAAATAAAAATCATAGGGCCGGGGATGTAGCTCAGTGGTGCCCTGCTTGCCTGGCGAGCACAAGGCCCTGGGTTCAATTCCCAGTACCAAAAACATTAAAAAATAAATAAAAATCAGAGTCAGCTTATTTTAAAGTTCAGGACCATATACTGCTGGATTTGGGCACTGACCTAGGGCCTGGCCAGAATCAAGCCCAAGTCTTGCCTCTAGAACACTGGAGAGATATGGAAAGGATTTGAGGTGAAAGGCCAGAAATTGGCCTCAAGTCACACTGGGGGAAGATCTTCTTACGTCGGAATGGCCTCTGCCTTTCCCTGCTGCCCGCTCTGCCCCTCCATCTACCTGCCCTCTTCCTGACTCTCCCTGAGGTCACACTGAGGAGGAGAAAGTGACAAGTGTCTTCCAGGCTGCAAGTGATCGATCACTGGCTTTTTCCCTGGCTCCCAAGTGCCATCTAATACCTTTGATTTAGCATCCCCTCCAGGCCCCTGCTCAGGAAGGGTAACGTCACCAGCCGTGGAGCTGGCAGCAGCCTTTCCCCCGTCTGTCCCGCCTGTCAGAGGTCTGCACTGTCTCCATCTCTCAGGCCCAGCTGCCCCTCAGCTTTGACCACTTCTCAAGGCAGAAGAAAGAGACGCTATCGCCAAGGAGCCTTCTGATTCCTGGACGATAGGGCAAGGTACTATCCACTTACCATGACCAAGAGGACACACTGGGACCCAGGTGTGGTAGCACATACCTGTAAATCCAGCACTCAGGAGGCTGAGACAGGAGGATCTTGAACAAACGAGTTCAAGGACAGCCTGGACTGCACAGTGAGGCCCTGTCCCAAACAAAGAAGAACAGAAGGCACATTGGCCACTCTAAAATCAACCAGCACCTGCCCACAGTGGGAGGAGCTTGGGATGAGAAGGAAAGGGCAAAAGAGGAGCCGTTTCCTGAGTCACACTTCTCCAGGCAGAGAAGCCTGCCTGGGCTTTGCAACTCCAACTTTGCTCCTCTTTTACAGGAACTCAGCACCAACCCAGCAAGGCCTTGCAGGCTTGGCTTGACCGTCTTTCCAGAGAGCCTCCCCCAGGGCCCTAGGTCCAGGTCACATTATGTACTCTACCCTCTGGTTTTTATTTTTCCACTTACTTTCTTTAATTTGTTGCAGTATTGGGGATTGAAATCAGGGTCTCGGTCTTCTAGGCAAGTGCTCTACCACTAAGCTATTCCCCAAGCCCTTCTTACTTTTTTATTTTTTTAATTTTGGAACAAAATCTTGCTAAGTTGGCCAGGCTAGCCTTGCACTTGAAATTCTCCTGCCTCGGCCTCCCATGCAGCTGGGATCACATCTGTGCACCATTATGCCCAGCCGCCACTGGTCATTTTGTAACCACAAGCTCACCTCTCTGTGCATGCCATAACCACTGCGGGATCCAGTTTGAACTGACTGCAGCCACGTAGTTCCCTGGCACCCTGCAGATAAAGCGGGAGATAAACCAAGCATATTGCAGCTCAAATAAAAGACATCTTTGTCCTGCCCACTTTACAAGCACCTCCTTCTGACTCAAATCACAGGTACCCAACTGTCTGGCTGCTCTTGGCCACATTTCTCCCAGTTAAATCCCCATAAACTGCACTCCGCAGCCAAGCACAGGGTCACACACCTATAATCCCAGCATTCTGGGAGGCTGAGGCAGGAGGATTACAAATTCCAGGCCACTCTGGGCAGTTTAGTGAGACTCTGTCTCAAAATAAAATATGAAAAAAGACTGGGTGTGTAGCTCACCGCAAAGGCCCTGGGTTCAATCCCCAGTACTAAAAAACAAAACTATTCTGCAGCCCTGGCTCTGTCTGCCTTTTCCTTCAGTCTCCCGGCACATCCTGGTCAGTGCTTTTTCACCTGATTTTCCCACTCTCAGAGCAGGACACCCCACATACACACGGGGCCAGGAGTCTAGCACTCCTTCACAATCCTGGTGTCCTCACGGCTTGCGACCTCGGCTGCTCTTGCTGAGATTTCAAATGGCTCCACCGAGGGACGGGACGTTCCTCCACCCCTGGGGAGCAGCACAGGCGGCAACACACCCAGCTGAGATGGCAGCTCCACAGGGCCAAGGACACAAGCGCCTTCCACCTTCGTACTCTGTCACTAAGGCCACACCCCAGCCTGGAAAGGGCAGCGCTTGCATGGCTGGACATACTTTGCTTCTGCTCCTAGTCCAGGGGACAATACTTAGCCATCTGGCCACGCCTACTAGCAAGGGACTCAGCAGCCGTGGTCCATGTGGAAGTGTCCCCTTTTCTTTCTTGCTTTCCATTTTTTTCTTTCTTATTTTGAGGAACGGTCTCACTAAGTGGCTAAGTTGCTCATCTTGGACTCAAACTTGCACTCCTCCTGCCTCAGCCTCCCACAGTGCTAAGATTTCAGGAATGTGTCACCATGCCTGGTTAAAAGCGTCTCTTGATGTGGTGAGTGGGCTTGTTTCTAGTCATCCTAGTTCCTATCCTGCCAAGAGTTGGTGAACCCAGGCTGGGGATTTAGCTCAGTGGCACCGCACCTGCCTTGCAAGTGTAATGTCATGAGTTCAATCCCCGGTACCACACACACACACACACACAAAAGTTGGTAAACCAAATATGCAAGCTTTTTACAATTATGTGAATTAAATACCCACACACATGCAAATATACGCTCATGCACGCATGCACACACACAATCAGAAGGTTCAGGCTCTAGAGCCAGGCTGCCTGGGCACAAATTCCTGCCTTAGTGTTTACTGTCTGCATGATAGGTAGTAAACAAGTCTCTCAGCCTCTTTATCTGTAAAATGGAATAGCAGTGACTGCATCGGGTTGGGGTGAGAATTAACTGCATTATTACATTAAAGCGTGTTACTTGGGGGGCTGGGTGGGCTCGGTGGTACAGTGATTGCCTGGCATTGCAAGGCCCTGGCTTCCATCCCCCACCCAAATAAAACAAAATTACCTGGGCTGTGTCTCTCCTGGTTTACGGCCACTGGAGCCAAAGGACCAGACAAGTGAGTGCTCTTGTGAATCATCTTGGATTTGATATGTTTTATCTCACATCCTGCATCCATTTTTAATAGCATTTTGTAGACCATGGAGTAAACTGATAGCAAATGAGAATTGCATTAGTGTCAGGGTACCTAATCCTGCATTTGCAATTCCTTTCTGTCTGTCCCGACAGACAGAAGCCCCATTTCAAGAAGGGACAGTGAGATTCTGTGTTCCAATTCATTAACTACTTTTTTGCAGAAAGGTTTTCTAGACCAAAGCCAGAGGGACTAGCTCCACCCCTAACAGCTCAGGGACAGGAGAAAGAAGCTCCAGGGACCAGACACTCTTGAAAACAAGCCCATTTGGTTGCCAAGAGACGTCCTGGGAAGGGTAGGTTCTAGAAGGCAATGCTTACTGCACCCCAAAACCCCACCTTTAGGAAGGGGTCTAAGTATCTTTGTAGAAGGAGAAGGATCTGATGATAAACTTCCTCATAGGCTAAACAACCATTGCTTCATATTATTCTACACTCGTTCTTTTCATATTTTATCTAATTTTGAACAGGAAATCATTTGCATGTCTTGCAAAATCCAGGCCCCCAGGGAAAGCCCCCTTGCCCCCCCACCTCCAGCCAGTCAGGCCCTCCTTCTGCCCCATCCCAGGAGAAACCAATTATATTTATCATGTGTTCCTACTACAGCCACACAAGCAAGTGTGATTACGGGTGCTTTCTCCATCCCTATGTGCACAGTGGAGCATCTAGTCACACTATTCTGAGTGCTTTCATTCTTGCTTTTGCAGATCTGTCCATAGCATTATCCACAAAACATCTTTATCTCAGATTCCCTCAAGGAAAGAAGAAATGCTACCCAGGTCCCCCAGCTTTGGTCAGTTCTGATAACAAATAGATTCTTAATTGTGCAGCCCCTAGGAAAGCCACTCTGATACTTCTCTATGAGCTTTATCACTGGTCTGGTCCACTGCACACCTGGCTAAGCGAGTTGCACTCCTGCGCACACTGCACCTTCTAAACCCCCCTCCTCCCCTCACAGCACCGAGGAGCAGCTCAGGCCCATGACTGCAAGGCAGATTCCTGAACAGCCCAACTCTGGCACTCAAAACCACACTTAAAAAGAAGCTGCTTGAACTTTACACATGCACTTCAGCACTAGGGGGAAAAAAGTTAATATAAAGAGCTGGGGATGTAGTTCAGTGGCAAAGCACTCGTCTAGCATGCGCAGGGCACTGGGTTCTTTCCCCAGCACCATAAAAAGGGAGAAAGGAGGAGGAGGGGGAGGAGAGGGGGAGGAAGAGAGGAAGAAGAAAACATTTTAAGTCATGATGCTGCATAAGCCTGTGACCTAAGACTCTGTGGGGTTTTGAAATTTTTATTTTAACTGATATATAATAATTGTATGTTTTTATGGATATGATGTGATGTCTCAATAAATGTTTATATGACAGAATTATTAAATCAAGCTAATTAATATAGTCACCTCATATACTTAATACTTTTTTGTTACGTGACCATTTAACATTTGTTACGTGACCATTTTGTTACGTGAGCAATTTTCCAATATACGTGACATTGCATATCATGCAGTAGATCTCAAAAATTTACTCCTCCGGCTCACTAAACTTTATGTCCTATGACTAACATCACCCCACTCCCTGCCACATGCAGCTTAGACATTGGTCTTTTTCTCCAGTGTCAACAATGAATACCTTTAAATTTTTCTGACTTTGATGCATTTGAAAGTAAGCTACAAATACCAGAAGCACTTTCGTGTGTGCCTGTACATTCATCAACTAGATTCTGTGTTCCTTTAGGTTTTCCTTTTTTGTAAGAATTACACACCATGAAATGTTTTGACATGAGACTTGACAAATGCATATAGCAGCTCTGTTACCCAAGGTGGTCACGTTTTACAGTTTCCTATCTGCCAATCAGGTAAAGAATGCTCAGGGACTACAGCTGAGATAATGAAAGAAAACACCATCCAAATCCATATCAGTGGTAAGCAGAGACTTGTTTTAGTTTAAACCAAAGATGCATTATATGAATAAATTATACAGAAAAATTCCAGTTTCCAGGGTATCAAAAATGAGTTCCTGAGGCCAGGAATGGTGGTACACACCTGTAATCCCAGGACTTGGGAGGCTGAAGCATGAGTTTGAGGCCAGTGTGAGCTATATAATGAGACCCTGTCTCAACCTCCTCCAAAAAAGGATTCCTGTACCAGCTGGAGAGTGGGTTCCTGGAAACTCATAGGATAAGATTCAAGCAGAACCCACAGTGATCAGAGGCTTAAATAGTTGTGCCCGCAGCTGGCTATCTAGCTCTCCCATCACCACTTCTACTTTCTTAGCCCTCCTTCCCCTCCCCGATCCACGGTTTATCTTCACCCCACTGAGTCCTATTGCAGGAGGCTCACAAAGGAGTGGTTGAGAAGTCTTGAAAAACAACTGTGGGATAACTGAAGTCACAACCTCATCCACTGCGCCCTATAAAGGAAAATTCTGCCAGCAGAAGCAACAGGGAATATTGAGACAAAAAGTTTAAAATGCAGAGGACTAAGGGTCAAGAATAGGAAGCAAAGGGCCAGGGATTTAACTCAGTGGCACCCACACCTGTCTCACAAGTGCAAGGTCCTGAGTTTGAACCCCGTTACCAGAAAAAAAAAGAAAGAAAGAAAGAATAGGAAGCATGGTGTAGTTGTACATGTTTGTAATCCCAGCCCTCTGGGAGGGTGAGACAGAAGGATCACAAGCTCAAGTCCAGCCTGAGTATTTTGGTGACTTTGCAAGACCCTGTCTCAAAATATTCAAAAAGGGCCTGGGAAGTAGCTTAGTGCAAAGGTCCTGGGTTCAGTCCCCAGTACCACAGAATGAATGAATAAGGCGTGGTGGCACATGCCTGTAATCCCAGCACTCAGATGGCCAAGGCAGGAGGAGTTTGAGATCAGCCTGGGCTACATAGTGAGTTCCAGATCAGTCTCAACTACATGGTGAGACACTGTCTCAAAAAACAAAAACAAAAAAAAGAATGAATCAATCAATGAATGAATAGGAGGATGTGTCTCCAGTCCCCTCCAGGAGAGAATGTGCCACAAGTTGGGCCATCATGGACATTTCAGTTGGTTTGCAGGCATCAACCTGGCCACTTTGGTCAGTGATGTCGGTCTCTGAGATGTCACTGTGTTCACTCCATATCATGCTCAGCTTGCCACAGAAGCTTCAGAGAACACTTGCTTCCTACACCCATAGGAGGAGGCTGTAATGACCATGTCACCGCAGGACACACTGAAATGCATCCCAAAAGGGTGGAATGATTGATAGATGGGAGATGTGGCACAGTGACCAGGCAGACAAGGAAAACGATACCATTGCAGAGTGTTGGGGGAGCACAGGCACCTGCTGCCCTTGGCAGCACCATGTCTCACCATCCTGCTCTGTGTAGAAATCTATGCACCAGGCAGATCCTCCCCAGGACCAGTGGCCTCCCTTAGTTTACCTGCTGTATTGACTCTCAAGAGCTGTGTTTCTCAACTTCCCGTCCTGTGACAAAATACCTAAGATACAAAACTGGAAGGAGGAAAGATTTATTCTGGCTTCAAGGGTTTCTGTGCAGGGTCACTTAGTCCTGTTGCTTGGGGTCTGATGGTACAGTACATCGTGAGAGTAGCAGGGGGTGGAAGACCTGTTACCCCCTGGCAGCCAGGAAATAAAGAGAAAGGGAGAGGAGGGACCAGGGCCTAACATCCTCTCCAAGGGCAACACCAATGACCTAACTTCCTCCCATCCAGCCCTGCCTCCTACAGGTCCCATTGCCAGCCACCAGCTGGGGACCAAGCTTCCATACCAGGACCTCTGGGGACCCTCAAGATCCAAACCATAACAACAGCTATAAAAGTCTAAACCAATAGCAAAACCAGAGTGCTCTGCAATTCCCTTGTGGAAACACCCCGTCCCAGATGGACATTCAGGGCGGGGACTCCTATTCCTCACACTCCTCTCAGGGTCCTGGTCCTCTGTTTTCCCCTCTCCCTCCCTGATACGTGTACCTCCAGGGTCCCGGGTCCTGGTCAGTTGTTTCTATTCCACTGCCCCTCAGGCCTCAGGTGCTGCTCGGGTCTTTCAGCCTGTTGGATCCACATTCACTAGAGCGGTCTCGGTCCTACACAGTAAAACTTCTCTAAGACACAGAAAGTGCCCCCAGAAGATTTATTATGAAAGTCTCACATATAAATAAAACTTCAAAGCATGTACCCAGAACCAAACACCACAACTGTCGACACCTCTCTACAGTGGTTCATCATCTTGTCACCTGTCGCGCCGTTCGTTCCCAGTCCACCCTCTCCCGATGCATCTCAAAGCAGACTGCAAATACCAGAACACTTCGCCCCTAACACGTCCGCTCACATATCATCCACTAGACCCAGCATTTGCTAAGGCTTGGGGTTTTGTTTTATGAAAATTTCATACTGTGATACCACCTCACACTCATTATGATGCCACAGCCACTATGGGGAAAGGGCAGAAAATACCAAGTGTCAGCAAGGATGCAGAGGAAGTGGGCCCTGTGTGCTGTCGGTGGGAATGGGAAGTGGGATAGCTGCTGTGGAAAGCAGAATACAGCACCTCCCAAAGAGAGATTAAAAGAAAAATAAAGAAAAAGCTAGGTGTGGGGGCACACACCGTAATCCCAGCACTTGAGAGGCTAGGACAAGGAGGATCGCCACAGGTTGGAGGCCAGCCTGGACTACATAGCAAGATCCTGTCTCAAAAAGAAAAAAGAAAAAAAAGAAGAAAAATAGAAAAAGGAAAAGATTGTGAAAAAAAAAGACCAGGGATTGGGTGGGAGGGATTGCAAGAAGGTGGAGATGGCTCTGGAAGGTACAGACAACTCCAGAAGTTTTCAGGGATGGCAAACAGAAAAAGAAAGAAAGAAAACAAAAAAAAAAGCTAGTGCAGGCCAGAAGGGATGGTGGGGTCTAGGGAGTACCTTGCTAATCTTAGAACAGCAGCCTTAAAGCTGTTAGTGTGTTACACAGATGGGGACTAGCTAGGGCGGAGAAGAAAACTGATAATCAAACTGATAATGTGAGAGAGACAGGGGATAGGGCTGAGCTGAGGTTTTAAGAATTTGAAGAGATGAAACCAGAACAAAGTGGAGCAATAGCACCTGGTAATAAGCTTTCCACTTTGTCTCCATGGCTTTTTTGGGGGGGTTACCAGGGATCGAACTTGGGACCTTGCACTTGAGAGTCAGGCAGTGGCACCACTGAGCTAAATCCCCAGCCTCTGTCTCCA